CGGTTTTAATTTTATTGCGCCAGTCAACGGACTTTTTAATACCCCCTCGTGGGTTATCTTAACCTATTTACCTAAAAAACAAAATAAAAAAAATAACTTGCTTAAAACTAGTAGTTTATTTAGGAAATAAAAGGCGCATAATCAAATTTGAAAACAAGACTGACATACTTGGAAGCTTATGATTAATGCTCTAAAATATCAGAAGTGGGATCAGGTGTCATGGAAGGAGAAGCATCCCACGTTCACCGCTCAAATCTACAGCATGCTCCTTGTTGTGATCGAGTAAAATTGATATTCCATAGAAAACTCGGTGTTTAGTACATTGAATATTAAATTAAAATTCTCGAAACAGTCAATGAATTTTCGATTGAAAACATTTTCAATTTTTAAAATAGATTTTCTGCAGGGCATTTAAAAATAAAGATTAAACATTCTTTAACATGTATTTTGTTGTTTTTCGTGTTATGACTTGAATTACAATTTATGAATTATCTAGACATACCAGTGCATAAATCAATAAATCAATTATGTTCAATAAAGCATGAATTTTAATGAGATGTTTACATTACATGTACATAAGTTTGGGTTAGGTTTAAATTCGATATAATTTCGAAAAAGCCTCTGTTTGTACATGAATATAAAACACCTTAAATGTAAGAGTTTCATTCATTTCTTTTTTTCAAATAAAAAAGATAATATATTCAAGGATACACAACGCGAAGAAAAATGAAGCCTAGTATATTGATACATATTTTTCAATGATTTTGAATGAAAATGACATAAATAAAATATCCCTGAAATGAAATATGTTGAGATAACGAACAGTTAAAAAGTCCATGAAACATTACAAAATAGGAGCGGAGCAAACACGGGCCTCTAAAACATCAGAGGTGGGATCAGGTGCCATGGAAAAGTGAGCATCCCCTGCCGACTGGTCATACCCGCATTGTGCTTCTTAAAATTGTCACCCGTGGTGATCCGGGTTAGAATAGGTCCTCAGTACCCCCTTGCTTGTCGTAAAAGGCGACTAAATGGGACGGTCCTTCGGATGAGACCGTATAAACCGAGGTCCCATGTCACAGCAGGTGTAGCACGATAAAGATCCCTTCCTGCTTAAAGGCCTTAAGTGCCGAGCATATGCCTAAATTTGCAGCCCTTCACCGGTAATGGTGACGTCTCCATATCAGTGAAATATTCTGGAGAGGGACGTTAAACAGTATACAATCAATCAATCATAAAATTTTCATGATAGGTTAATAACGGGAAAAAATCCGTGGTAACTCAGTGTGTAAATAATGGCATATGCTAACAACTGGAATGATAATGTCATTGTATCGACCACTGTATCGACTATGGAACTTACGAAGTGATGATTTTAAACGAGACTGCTGATATTCTTGTTTCATCAACTTGTTTGTCACAATCTTACTTCGTTTAAGAAATTGTTCATACGTAGAACATGTTCTTCCGTATCGAATCAACTGAGAGATATTAACTCCGTATGCAGGTTATGAAGGTATATTGCTGCATAAATAAGGAAAGTTGACGGTTGAAACGTCATCTCGGTTGCCATAAAGCTTTGTTGTTAGATTACCGTTAACGTCTTTTTTAAGTATCTTTACTTTCAAGCTCACCGGGATATATCGTGTCGACAAAAGAATGGAAATAACAACTGTAATTGACAATTTGTCATCTACATGTCTAAATGTCAAGTTGATTGATTGATTATGTATTGTTTAAGTCCCTCTCGAGAATCTTTCACTGATTTGGAGACGCCACCACTTGCCAGTTGTAGAGATGCAAATTTTGTCCTATAATCGGAACTCAGGGCCATTGAGCAGGAAGTGATCTTTTTCGTGCCAGCACCTACTGCGACACGGGACCTCGGTTTGTACGGTCTCATCCAAAGGACCGGTCTACACGTCCAACAGTGGGATTCGAACCCGCGACGTAAGGATCAACAACTTACATAGCGACTCTAGAGTAGACGCTCTAACCACTGCGCCACGCGGGCAACAAATTTCGATTTAAAAGCCACAGCAAGTGTTTTTATTTTCTTTTCACCTAAAAGATTTTGAACAAATTTTGTTTCATAAGAATACAAAATAACTAGGTCTGCTTGTAATAAGCCGCAATTGGTACCCACGGAAAATCCAATAGATTGTTGATTGACTTGGTATCCATAAACCACAAAGATATTGTCTATCAGAATTTCGAGCATCTTTTTAATATCAACTTTAGAGTACTTGTGTGTACCATTAGAATTTTGTAAACAAAATCCAATAAAAAAAATCGTTATGTGTTCTTTGTGCTTTAATGTGCGACTATTTTTCCTATTTAAGGGGGCCGACTTTGGTTTTCATTGCGCAGTATTTCGCGCATCATAGTAAATGAAGCGTACTTACTGTTTTAAAGCATCTTTTTTCACTTGATTAATAGAATTAAACAAACTTAGGAAATAATAGGTTTAAAAATGTAATTACAATTTTATATAACTGATTTTTTAACCGATTTTGCAATTGATAGGTAGGTTGACGTCGTTATAGTGTTTTTTGACGTTATGTTAAACGGAAGCTCTTACGAAATATGTAATAAAAATGTGATTAAAGAAAAAGTAATAAACATACGCTCTTGAAATTTAAAGCATAGAAATTTAAGAGTATCTCCACAATTTTTATTATGTTTTCATATAAATCATTTGCATCCGTCATATTTTGTAGTACTCTATAAAAACAGGAAAATTCGTAAATTTTTTGCATTTTGAGATGCCCCCTCTGGTAACAAGAAGGTAGAATTTTGTGTTTCTTACATATAATGTACAATATAGTATTACTCATCATATATTATAGTTTGAACAAAAAGTATATTGTAGTATTTGTATAATTTGCTAAAAATTGGCACTTTCCTACATAATTCTATTATAAACACACCTGCATTTTGAGACGGTCCCTTGAAAATACCTGAACAGCAGATTTTCCCCAAACTTGGCATGTACATTGAAGTTAATGTAAGTTATATATGGTATAAAAATGAAGAGTTTCGCTATTGTAGTTTTCACACAATAAAACCTTAGTCGGACCCCTTAATTTTATTAAAATGTTTCGTATTTTTTAAAACATGTGTCACTGAAATGAGTCGCTTTCAAGTCTCCTTATACCTGTCACCAAATATTATATTTTTTAAGGTTGCTTCCTTTGTCTGTTTCCTGATTGCTGCCTCTTTAGCAATGGATGATTCAACAATCAAATTTTCTCAAAGAAGTAAAAATGAACATGAACATGAAATGTTCTTTAAAAATATTCGTAAAAGTAAGCCCTTGGCGCAAAGATAATGTCTTAGTACAATTTCAAGGGAGTGCAAACTCCTCCACTGCACCTGCACCCATCTCTGATGTTTCCCTTTGTCTTATATTCATAATTTTGAAGAAAAACGATACAAGTTGTATATAAATAATGTATTTCAGAACAAAAATGTCGGATATTTCCATTGCGTATCCTCACTGCACTGTGTATGAAATAGAGATGCATCTGCATTTTTTTTGTCGGTGTAATAAAACAGAGTATTAATACGGTATTAATATGGTTATATGATTGAATAAATTCTATAATTCTGATTGGGTGAGACCCAACTATGTCGAAAAAAATTACTACGTTATATTTTTCTGCACTTGACGTTCCAGGTGAATATAAGGATTTATTTTCTCTAAATTGATCTAAAACTAGATGGGAAAATTCAAAATTGATACAAATACATTTGGAAAGCTATTACACCTGCTGCCTACTTTTACTCGTAAATATAACATTAGGCGGATATATGATTAGGGTGGGGTGGAAAGTGGGGGTGCCGGGACCCCCTACTCTCCCTCCGATATTTTTCCTAATCAAACATTTTTACCTTTTTTAAGGTGTCAGTTTACCCTGATAATCCCACTTCCTTTCAAAATCTATCATATAAAAGTGTCTGACATTATTTTTCCTTTCATTGCAACTAAAATATATTTTAAACATTTCCATTTATACGACCGGTGAGGTTTATTTACATTGTAACTTCGCCTCTCTCTTTGCAATTGGCAAGGACTTCAACAAATGCCAACAGGTATAATGAGTTGCATCATTAAATCATTGATTCATTTAATAGTCAATACGATGATTTACCCACTTCAAAGTAAAATATTCACCTCGTCCTCCAGGTTCGGTGAATATTGTACTCCTCAGGTGACTAAATCATCGTATTGACTGAAAAACAGCAAAAATTGTATAAGATTCCACTTCCGCGAGTAAGTCTACTTCCTTCTATGCCGCCTTATGAAACAGACTTGCTGCCGTGTTGACTTCAATAATGACCGTCACGGTACATAAACTGTTTACAGTCATGTGAAAATACAAGGGATTAAGAACAGAATTCAGACTTTAGATGTGCAATTATTATTTGAACAAAGTGTCTTATTTTCAGGTTATGTGGGTTGCTATAACTATACCGATCATATGGATAGATTCATACAATTCAACGTTACTTCCTATGCCAATGAATCTCTGCACAGCTGCATTCAAACTTGTCTTAAGGGATTTAACAAAAAATATGCAGGGATAATGGTATGTTTTATTGGTCTTTATTGTCTAGTTCTTATGAAAATTTTATCAGTTATAAAAATTTTTAAAAATAAATTTAGTGATAAAAGATAATGATAAATGTTAACCTACCAGTACTTGGTCATTCAATGGATATTAAAACTTTATTCTGCACCCACAGGCAGATAAGCTGTGTTACTGTGGTGACAGATATAATCAAACATTTGCCACGACTGAAGAGCACTGCAATTTCTCATGTTCAGACATTGACAAATGTAAAGGAAACGGGAAAATATCAATATACAATACCGGTAATAATTATATCATAGTTAACAAGCAAAGAATTTACCATATCATTTATGTTAATACGATTTCCATAGAACATTTAGTGGTATTTGTAAATCAAATTAATATTTCTGGAAATAATACGAAGTTTCTTGAAGTCTGGAACAGAAAACTCACCATGAAATTTGGTAATATGTTTACTGGTATCGACATGAGAAGTCCGTCCATTGATTGGTGGAATCAGGACAAGCCCTACCACAAACCAGAATACGTGAATAAATATTCAGTGTTTTTAGACAGACTTAATATTTATTCGTATTGATAATGATGCTACTGCTGATAAATAAATAAATAATAAATTAAGAGAATTGATAACAGAAAGGCTGATACTTGTACAACAATTTTAGGTTTCCTTGATGGCATTTAATCATAGTTGATGAAGATACTACCGCTGATAAATAACTAAATATATATAAATAATAAAATAAGAGAGGTTCATACTTTTATCTTAACAATCCATTTATTTTTTTTTTCTAGGTTTCCATGATGGCATTAAATCAGCATGGACAACTTCTTTGGGCAATAGATTTCTTTACCAATGACACAAACGCAAATATTGGAAACTGGATGAGGAAGGATCGAGTTCTACCGAACGAGTTTTTAAATACATCATCAATAGAAACATTGAATATTACTATCAAGTAAGTCTGAATATTTAACATAAACGTCACTGTCAATATAAATATAGGTTAAGCATGAAGCTTCTCATTTGAATTCATTATTCATGTATAACATTTGCAGACATTTTTGCAATTCTGTGGAATCCTTTTTTAAATAGATTGTGTGGGTAGCTCAAGGTCTCCTATATAGATTGTCAACGTGTTTAACCATGTTTTTATTTTTTTTTTTTTTGTATTCCAATTTAAACAAAGCTTTTGCTTGACTATAAAAAGGCATGGAGAATCACATTCTGGGTCAGTAAAGAAAGCATTAGCTGATATTTTGTACGTGTCATAAAGATTGTGGTTTTAACCGTTTGTTTTAGTCGCCCGCGTGCCACAGAGGTTAGAGCGTCTGCTCAAGAGTCGCGAGGTAAGAAGTCAATCCTTACGTCGCGGGTTCGAATCCCACTGTGGAACGTGGAGACCGATCCCTCGGGTGAGACCTTATTAACCGAGGTCCCGTATCGCAGTAGGTGCTGGCACGCAAAGATCCCACCCTGCACAATGGCCCTGAGTGCCGAATATAGGACAAAATTTTGCAGCTCTACGCCAGCAAGTGGTGGCGTCTCCATATGAGTGAAAATTCTCGAGAGGGACGTTTAAAACATACAATCAATCATTCTAATGCAATTATTTTGTAAAACACCTTTTGATTGGCTAATGCACTGATGTTTGAAGCAGTAAAACGAGCATTAACGAGGCAGGAAGCTTTTCATTGTGACGTCATAATATAGCAACGCAAAAACACAATGACCTTTGACGTATTTCATGTAACGAAATGAACAAATTAAGACTTAAACAACAAGCAAAGTGCATGGATTGCATTAGAGTGGGAATAACTATCTTCTATTTTGGTATTTGCGACCGTTAATGCTGATTTAACGGTCGCAAACATCCGTTTTACCGGCTCCGCTTACGCGTCGCCGGTAAAACTCAGTTTGCGACCGTTAAATCAGCATTAACGGTCGCAAATACCAAATTAGAAGATAGTTATTCCCTAAATCAAAACGGTTTTTTTTGCCAATTCCGAAAATTCGAATGAATATTAAACAATTTTATTAAAAATACAAAGGTCTCTCAGATTTTTATCGTTTAATCATGTACATAATATTTACCTTTGATTTGGTCTTTAATATATCTTTTATTGAAAGATAATCACCAATGCAGTAAACCTACCTAGAAATCTAGAGTTTCAGGCTATGTTTGTAATTTTCATTGACGATAACACATTTCAAAGCTATAAAGAATTATAAATAAAATTGTAAGTGTTAATAACAGCTAATCATAGAATATCAAGTATGAATTAACTGATCGTGAACAATTCAAATCTTACAATAAAACAGCACAACGAACAATGAAATTCGAATAACCGAATCAGAGAGCGACTATGTGTGGTTTCAGCGTGGAAATGTCAACAACGACAAAGCGATAGTAACTGTTGTTTCTCCAAAAAAGATACCTATACCAGGTAAGTATATTCCTTTTACAATTCAATAACTTATCGACATTTATGTAGGTAGAAAAAATAACTACAGGGAGTTTATAATAGAAAAAATATTTTTGCTTAAATTGTGACCTTTAAAAAAAAATTCAAAAAAATTAATGCAATCCCAACATTCTAGAGTAGAAGGGAAAAGAGCGTGAACTTATCTTATTGTAGCCATTTTTATTATATGAAGTTTTAAAAGACATTGATCCACAAATATGCAAAATATAATTTTAAAAAGGTTTACATAATTCAATACTATTCTCATGGCAAATTGAAAAAAAAACAACAAAAAAACGATGTGGCGCTAAAAATATCATACACATGTATTTCAACATATTTTATTAAGTTCTTGAAAATTAAAATATAAAGCATTTTGAAAAAGCTAGTGTATCATAAATTCTTTATAGAATTTATGTACAATATACTTAAAATACATGTATTTCATTCGCTTAACAGTTTCGTAGTATTAACACACTATCATTTACAATGAAAATACGTTTGATATTTTTGTTGTTTTATATTCTTAGATTTGCTATGGAAGTAATACACTATGAGGATAAAATGAAAGTTTTGGATAAATGCGAAAAAAACTTCAATTCTTTTTATGAAATACCCAAATAATTGACCAAAAGCATCTTTAAGTTTTTGCTTCAATAGACTGTAAATTCTTCACATCTAGTGTGAATAAAATATTTTTGAAAAATATGAAAAAATCTGAAGCAGATTGTTAAAAGTTATCCATATCTTTGTTCTGATCAATCATAGTGATACAAATGTATCTTTGCCTAGCGTATTTGCATCAAAGCACATTAAGATATTGCATTCCGCTGGGCGTCTCAGACATATTTTGCAATAATGTATCGTTATGTCTTTATGAACATGCGCTAATATTTACATTCGCTGTTTTTTTTTCTACTAAGCCAACTGTGAAATTGATTTGAAAACCATTTTCGTATATATTCACACGTAGAAATATACACGGAGAAACTTGCGTTAACATGACGTCACAATAGGGCTACAGCGATTTTAGTAAAGGTATAACGATATAGAGAAGCGAGAAATTCAAATATTGAGTTTTTTTGTGCTTCCAAACATATAAAATGTAAATATAAGGAATGTTTTTAGTGCGAATTCGCTAGCGCGCTTCATGAAATATGCCTACGTGACAAGTCTGTGTGATTCACACACCAATAACTCACACAAAACTTAAAAAAAAACATTCCTTAGATAATTACATAAGTTGTGTTTTTCTACTAAGCCAACTGTGAAATTGATTTGAAAACCATTTTTGTGTATACTCACGAGTAGAAATACACACGTTGAAACTCGCGCCATGTGACGTCACAATGAGTAAATACAAATGTCACGATATAGGGCATGGGGAAATTCAAATATTGAGTATATTTTGATTACTTTTAAACTATTTAAATGTTGATATAAGGAATGTTTTTAAGTTTAGCGTGAATATTTGTTGTGTTAATCACACAGACTTATTTCATGAAGCGCGCTAGCTCAAATAATAACTCACATAAAACTTAAAAACATCCCTCAATTATCAAATCTCTGAAATATTACATACGACTGCTAGGACTGTAAATAATAAGGATCATCAATTGATCCACAATGACAACACGTTATCTTTTGATTGAATAAATATGAATGACTTGACATCTGTATGTACTCGAAATACTTCTTTTCATGTCTAGTGTTCTTTACGAGCAATAAGAGCATGGATTGTTTACCTACATATGCTGTGTGTACTTGTGATCATCAGAAATTAGAAATGAAATACTTTCAAGCTTTAAAAAAGGTAAGATTTTTCTTACTTGTGTCGACATATGTGGAAGGCTTCCTAATTGAAAGAGTTTTTTAAAATACTCCTTGCCTTGCATATTTTCTCTTTAAAGACGGGTTTGTTTGTTCCATTCTCAGTCATATATCAGATATATCGTTTTTCCTTCAAGAGCAACAAAAGACGGAAACCTCTTAAGATAGTAATAACGATAACAATTATCACATTACATCAGGTTGTCCAGCGCATTTTTCCGTCAATCTATAAAAAAGGGAAATTTGTCTCAAATCATAATAAATTTAGATAAAGATATATGTATATAACCTAAAATACCCCCATAAACACTAACTGCCTGCTATTTTTAGATACTAGCAATTACTTAATTCTTAGGATAATTTAATTGTAAATTTTTCTTTACTTTCTTTGAAACAGGAATGCATTAATTCTTCTTTTAAAGGGAATGTAGCATGTAAATATATTCTACACTGATTTGAGGTTTATAATGATTTTCTTTTAACTCTTATAAATATTTGTTTCATGATGCCCGAGTTTTGCATTAACAATATCAATCGGGATATTAAGTATGCGGCAAGATTATAGCAGAGCTGTTTTCATATTCGTATGAATAAGAACTTATAAAAACTTTGATAACTTCACATGAGAATAATCTATTGATGTTGTAGCTTTTTATATTTAGATACATCGGGAACATTTTATCAATTAAAAATAATTCTATTAATGTGTAGACTAAACACGAAATAATAAATAGACACCACACAATCTCCAACACGTGTTTCATATTTTGATGTTTTCCGACTAAAATCGATCAAGACCACTAAATCCTTTTCTTTATAAGGAACTCAACTAAGCAATCTTAAAACTCTCTTATTTATCAATTATATGTACACATACGAGGGACGTTCAATAAATAATGTCATTAGCTCGATGACATACAACATAGTAGTCATATGACATAAAGCTTGACTTTCTCTCATTATTGAATCTTTAATGATTTTATAACAGTTTATGTGACCACTTTTCATCACATAGTTTTATCGTGAGAAGCTGGGAAACAAGGGCTATTCGAGACACTGCATTATAAATGAATGGTAAAGAATCAGTAAACTAGAGTGAAAATAAAAGCTACATTAAAGCTGCTGTAAAACTTGTTAAAAATCCCAAAGAAATATTCACTGAAATATTTGACATTTACTGCAACCGATGCCTGTTTTATAGACAAATGAGCAGGTGGATTTCAATGATAAAAAATTATATAATGGGCATCAAAAATGGGTACCCTCCTTGCCAACAAAAATTATAACAACTTATGAATTGTTTGCCAAATTTCAACAAATAATATTTGATGCTGTATGATTGACTTTAAGACACATAGCAAATTTGATAGACATCATATCGGGAGTAGTTTAAACTGTTTTAAAGATTAGGTAATTAGTAATTAAGCTTGGGACTCTAAGGTCACCCTGTATTTTGAAAAATGAGTGAAAACGACAGCGTGTACAAAAGTCTTAACAATTATTTTAAAATATCAGTAATTGTAGTAATCCACGTTTGTTTTATATTCAAACAGATATTGGAACATGAATATATTGCTTAAAACCATTAAAACAAAATTTAACATAAGATGTACTTGATAAAAACGGCGAAGGACTGTCAAGAGCAAAGGTATGCAAGAGCACAAAGACAGATTTATATGCAATTTTCTTGAATATTAGTGGTATTGTTGTTCAAATTCGTATTCGGGGAGACAGTTTAATGTCTGGAGGTGTCTAGAAAGCAGTTTTTTTTGCAAAGAAATCGAAAGGTTTATCAGAGAAAGGACCCAGAATCAGGAATCCACTACATTGAATTTCTTCATGACAGCGTTCAAACCTGCATGCCCTAAAGAGTAAAGGGGTTATCGGGATAAACAGAAAGTTCATGTTTTTCACATTAAAAATATTTGCCAGATCTTTGACCTTTTGACTTGTTTCTATTTCCAAACTTGAAAAAAACACCTTTCAGAAGGAAAAAACAAGTCCAGGAAATCAATGGATCTGCCATTTTGCAGTATACTAAGGGTCATACCCAAAAATGAGTTCTAAAAACAATCAGATATTGGATAAAAAATGTTACGGACATGTGTTTGAATTAAAAGAGATTAATAAGTAAAATCATGAAGACCAAATCATTGAAAAGCGTCGTTTGCTTCTTTCTGAGCCCCAGTGACATTACTTATTGAACGCCCCTCGTATTTTATATGTAAGCCAATGTGTTAATGTCTCCAAATATATTCGGTATATGCAAGATCACGTTTTAGGTACGATTATTTTTTTTAACTGAGACGGATCATTGGTTTTCTAATATCCTTGGCTACTCTTTCAGACGTTCTTTTTTTGTTTTTTTCTTTTTATAGACAGAATGTAATTGCAGTAATGATGTCCATGGAAACTGTATAAGATACTTTTGGAACGGAGATGGTATATTAATATACATGTACATCCTTTTCTATACAACGCAAAAAAAAAAAATCCAATAAGTATAAGAAAAATTAGTTTATTCTAACATTTCAAAGAGCTTAAAATTTCAATTTCTTCAGAAATTTTTTTTAAGAAATACCTTACGACATTAAAAAATAAGTTAATTATAAATATTTTTCGATTGTGCTAAATTATTAATAATATATATCATGTCATTTTTAAGCTGTGTGTCCATGGCAGTTGGAAAATGGAAATACTGGTTGTCGCTGCTGTCCCTTGGTAATTGTATATAATATATCAAGTTTAATTCAGTTGATTCGATACATAACAGCATGCTCTAGTATTGTACAATACCGTAAATCTGGAAATTTTTGCTGTAGATAAATTTTTTAGCAAATTTACGAGTTCATTGCATTCGCAAAAATATTTTTCTTCAAAATAAATTACCAATAAAAAAATGTAAACAAAGCAGTGGTCATTCGCAAAATTTTGAAGCGTAAAAATTAATCAACAGCATTTGGACCAGTATTCGCGAAATAAAATCAACGTAAAATTGATGAAACAAGAATATCAGCAGGCTCGTTTGAAGTCATCATTTCGTAAGTTCTATAGTCGATACAATGACTGTGTCAGCAAATACAATTTTTCATTGAGTTAAATGCTGAAAGTTGTTTTTCATACTAATTGTTAGTCCACAATTTACAAACTGAATTGACGACGGATTTTCCCGTTATTACCTAATCATGACAAGGAGAACACGGCGGGTTTGACCGGTCAACAGGGGATGCTTACTCCTCCATGGCACCTGATCCCACATCCCACGTTTCGGAGGTCCGTGTTTGCTCTGCTCCTATTTTGTATTGTTTAAAGAAGGACCTTTGAGCTTGAATACTGTTCGTTAGCTCAGTATATTTCATCCCGTAGACAACGTAAAATTATTGAAACGTAAACATTAACAACAGAGCTCGTGTCCTGTTTACAAAAACAGTTTACGTTTCACTGGTATGTTCATTGTTGAACTCTGAACACAACACTGAGCAATACGAGTGACAATACGAGTGAATGCAGAATTTCTTTCGTACAATTTTACTCTGAGATGCATTACCAACGAGTGCGTACTACAAAAATACAAGACAAAAAAACATTGATGTAACCATCAATAGTCGCCCGGGAAATAAATAAGGTAAATAATGGAAATGAGTCTTGATCATCAAACCGCTCCGATATGTGTGAAAAAGGCAAGGGTCTAAATGGAGACGATAGTCGAGAATATTTTGAAAACTTACATTCGGATGAAAATCGAACAAAAACGATGCCCTTTTAAACTTTATCTATTCCTCTAGTAAATGTTGGCTGCATAAAATATAAATTGAAAGCAGACAAATACATCACCTATTTTCAAAAAATGTATTTCACTTTAAAAATATAAAACACGAACTATGTAAAGTACGTTTTTATGCGATAAGTAAAATTCGATGTTCTAAAAAAAGGGACCTGTCGTTTTTTCGATAGCAAATGATAAGCAACTTTTAATATTAAATATGAAAAACATATATATTTTTACAGATTCACTTTATGTTAATAAGTATATTCTGTATTTCGTTATTTATAAAGGGAAAGAACATTCTGATTAACAATCTTTGTAATTTTAGAAAACCTTTAATTCTAAATAATTTCTCCCACCTTAATCCCCATATACCAACACTTAAACTTATATGTATAGAGCATCCCGGTCCTCAATTGCAATACAGCAAGAATAGATATGGGTACCCCATATCCAAAGATATTCGACTTTTAGATTTAACGTTTCGTCAAAGGTCAACATGTCTAAAACATTATTTTTGAAAAAGCTCCAAAACTATGTGTGGTATGAGGTCAAAACGTTTACAGTTTATAAATATATCATTGATTGATAGATAGAAAGTATCACTTAATAAGATTTTTTTTTGAGAAAAATTGTATCAGAAAAAGTGCATGTTTTAAAAAAAATGCACCTGCTTAATTCTGTCCTTTTTGTGAAAACCATCATTGCAGAAATAATATATGTTTATCATTGAAGGGCAAGTTGGACGTGAATGGTCTCTGAAAGGCTGTTATTGGAAGCATGACATGTATAAAGACAAGACCCTATAGAATCCGCCATTTGCAATGTACTTTCACTTTTAAATCTTAACATTTGGACAAAATAAACAGGGAAAACAACTTTCCAGAGGCTATCTAAATCCAACTTGCCCTTCATTGATAAACATATTTTGTTTCTTCAATGATGCTTTTCACTAAGAGCACGGAATTAATTATATAGGTGTATTTTTGAAAATATATGCATTTTTAAGAAGAATTTTTCCCAATTAATATTTTTTCTAAGTATTTTTTTTATCAAGTGATACTTTCTATCTGTTAAGCAATGAAAAATTTATAAACTGTAAAAGATTTAACTTTATACCTCACATAGTCTTGGGGCTATTGTAAAAATAATTTTTTGAACATGTTGACTTTTGGCAAAACCTTAAGTGTTTAATGACTTCTGTGGAAAAAAAAAATTGCACTGTCTTGTTATGGAACTGGTGTAAAGTTCATGAGTCCTTAGCATCCCTGTCGGGTTTTGCTACACATTTTATAGTTACACTCCCTACAAGTCTTGACACGTGCAGAAATCTGCTCAGGGATTGAAAATACCGTCATTTCATAAAACACACGTACACAGAATGATTACTTTTTTTTCTCTAAGAGGAAATTGCATGATAATTAACGAACAATAAACATGAACTTAATACAATTGTTGATGTAGTATAATCAATTCATCGGTGAAAAAATATCAATCGAAGAATGACCTAAATATTCTCTGTTATCAAAGATGTTTAAAAAAACTGAGGTGGGAGCGAGCCTAGGAATATTAACATTTTTTATTTGCATTTCGGGGGGAAAGTGATTTTCTAAAAATATTTCTGTTAATTTTGGTTTCTTAACGTATAATCGACATACACAGCATTATTCTAATCATAAACAGTAATGTTGTATCTACTTATCATGATGGAACTATTTTTGTCGAAACAATTTGTGTGAAGCGTACCTGACTATAGTAGTACTGTAAACAGGAGAATTTTCGCCCCCCCCCCCCCGTTTTACTTTCGCCCCTTTCGCCCTCCTATCATTTGGACGAATTTAAAACTGGGCGAATTCAAAGAATACAGTATAATTTCTTTAAAAAAAACTATGACTGGGCGAATTTAAAAAGGGGCAAATTTGTTTGCAAGTGTGAAAGGGCGAAAAATAGACGGGGTGAAAATAACCCTGTATACAGTATATCTTGAACAGATAATAAGCACTGATTGAATATATTAATTAATTGAAAAAGCACTTTCTTCTACTTGCTTTCCGAAAGACAATTTTTTTTATGCATTTCAATCACTGATTTAATGCGAATCTACAATTTCCATACTCACAATTACAAACATTTGTTTTATTATAGTGTGCATCATTTTATTATTTTTTGCACAAATGGCTGTGCATGTACCTAGTATCAATGAATACAAATACGTATCTTTAAATTAGGATTAATATTTATCGCTTTCCTTATCTTGCTTTCTTCTTAAAATGCATGTAGAACATTTTATTTAATTTTACAAATAGTTAAGTGTTAAAAAACTTATCAGTGCACCCATGTTTGCTTAAACCAAAAATGTTGTGTGACAGATTTTTTTTCTGTTTTTATAGACAGAATTCACTTGCAGTAACAAGATCTATGAAAACGTACTGGAACTTGGAATAGAAATGGTATATTTTATAATATCTAAAAACATCTTTAAAAAAGAAGCTCACAAATTAGAATTATACTTATTTTTGATTAGAAGAAAAACATGATAATATCAAACAAATTCATAACAATTGGATTTCATACGCTCAGTGAAAAAGCAAGGAAAAGTACTAGGTGCACAGATTGAGGTCATTCCGCCCTAATGGTATTAACAAACTAAATGACTTCACCAGAATGAGCGTGTACTAGATCCAATTGCTGATGGTAATGAACATGCTCATTCTCTCCATATAGGATAAACTTTACAGTTAATTCGCGTTACCAACTCTAGAACAACTCACATACCTATTTTTGCTTACGCCAATGTTTATTATTTCTTTTTTTTCTATAAAAAGTCCTAAAACATTTCCAAATTTATAATACAACCAATTCATATGTTAAAATGTCCCTTCTATATTATCTTTCTTTGGTTTCAATGTATAGTTATGCTCATGTATAGTTATGCTATTTTGAGAATATGAAACAATGTACGATTTACTGATTGTCGTAATTAATTAATTCAATTATGTAAATCGCTCTTCACCAGAGTACATCTGACAGACAGGAGGTAATTCAAAGCGGTCCAGATTTCTTTTGAACATTACTATTGATTATAAACTTGCGAATTCAATATGTAATATTGTAAATATATATTGTTCTTTAGTTAAGTGGTAGTGCTGGAGTATTTTTTTTTTGTTTCTTATTTCCTTTGAAAACTATCTTTTAAATCTTAGATAAGAAACTTAGTTATCTTATTAAAGAATGTATTACTCTAACTTACATATTTTTTTAGGCGAACGAATTGATGAATACTAGTTACAGAGAAATTCAAGACACTGTGATTTTTGAGGTCAGCATACTTGTTATGTGAAATCATATCAGCATGTGAATCACTCTTAAATTTGGACACGCCATTATTTTTAAGTGAAATCCAGTTGTTATATGTGAGCGATTTATATTTGAATGTTTATTCAGTGTTTTGATACCGTTTACGAAAGCTCAGTCGACAGAACGCTCACTCCATGATCATGATCGAGAGGTCGTGAGTTAGAATCTCGACCGCGACTTACCTACGTCGATAAAAAATGGGTCGCAACTTTTCCTTCGCCATGTGCTCGGCACTTTCAAGTGAAAGTTGCTGTCATTCGGATGAGACCTCATAAAACCGAGGTCCCTTGTCACGACAGGTGTGGCACGATAAAGAATACTCACTGCACAATGGCCCTAAGTGACGAGTAAAGGTCAAAATTTGAAGCCCTTAACCGGTATTTGATGAAGTCTCTATATGAGTGAAAAATTTTCAAATGGGGCGTAAAAAATAATCAATCAATGCTTTTAGGAAAACTTATCATAGAAGTAACCTCTTTTTATATCTAGAATGTCTTTCATGTCAAATAAAGGGAACCCAAATTGAGCTTTGATGCCTCCCATGCCGTTTCACCTTTTTTAACCTGCAGATTATATATATTATTGACAAACTGAAGACTTTTTGTCAACTAACAATAGTTTTTTTCCATTCTTATGTCGAAAAGATATACACTGGTGAGCTTGAAATAGAAGACACCTCACAGTCTGACACATCTGTTTCGTGTTTAGTTATTTTACTAAAAAGTGAATGGTAATCTAACAACAAATTCCTATGATAAACTTGATGCCTTAAACTTTTCAACCGTCAACTTCCCTTACTAATGCAGTAATATACTATCATCAACTGCATACGGGGTGTGAAATTCCTAAAACGAGGTAAGTTATTGACAAACAAGTTGATGAAAACCAACCAGCAGTCTGGTTTTTTTAAAGTCGTCATTTCGTAAGTTCAATGTGAGCCCGCGACGTAATGATCAACTCCTCACTCTGCGACTCTAAAGCAAACACTCTTACCACTGCCTTACGCGAAGGCAACCATTACGATAGGTTAACTCGTAGAAAATTCAGATAAAGTTTTACTGAAAATAGAGCCATTTATCTGCAAGAATTGCTTAGAAAGGAACAGGTACACTTTGCAAACGACTATCTCCTCAAAATTAGAGCTAAGGAAAATTTTAAGTCTTTCAAGCAATTTCTACAAAATACAAAATATATTTTATTCTTATGACATTTGTTGCTTTCTTTTTCAGAGAAATTGTCAAATGAATGACACGAAAAATTGCCTGACACAACAATGGAATGTATGTTACATGTACAAAATTGAACGCAAATAGTTAAAAAAGGCATGAAGTAATTTGCATCGGACTCGCTGTCTTGATATATTGAAATGCCCTTTTTAGATGGGACGCTCCGCCTTTGTAATATTTATTTCTAATAATGATCAAAAACAATTTTTGTTACTTTCAGGAAAAGTGCCGATTTAATATTAGTAACTTACAGACAAAAGGTAAGTCAAAGGGATAATTTTACAAATTGTTATTCACTACTGCCTAACGGCATTTATAAGAATGGTTTTTATAACCTGTAAATATTTTATTGCCAATCCTTGAAGTTTAAAATCTTTGACATACGTTTACTCCGATTTACGTCATATGCATGTCGAATTCCAAATCCTTCGATGAATTAGATGATTAGCATAAAGGCTGCATGGATTCATGTATGTTGACCATAAAATTAATTACGACGTTAAGGTCAGACGAGACGTTCCTCAAAATCGGTGTTGTATATCTTCGTAATATATGAAAAATATTGAAAATTTTAATAACATTCTGATGTCTAAACCAGTTTCTAAACGTTTTTAAAAAGTCCAAACTCTTAAAAATTTGAAATTGGAAAATTATTTTTCTTCCCCAATGGATTATATAAGAAAAACTACCCATGGTATCTTGCAGAAATGCCTGTTAAGGTACCTCAATTTTTTGTGAGTAAACATGTTTAAGTAGCAACACTTCAATGACAAACTCTAAGAAAAATTTATCTATTATTAAGGAACGTCTCGTCTGTCCTTAATAAAATTATTAAATTCTAGGAACATGAAAAATATTGTAGTGAAGCATGAGATAACGAACAGTATTAAAGATCAAAAGTCCATAAAACATAAAAAATTTCGTAGATATTGCTACATCTCTTCTACATTTTGTATTTCCCACAATAAATTAAAATCTTGACTTTTTAAATAATACATATAGAAAATTGCTTCTTCGAACAATGAAAACCTAACTTGAAAATTTCCACCTGTCATCAACAAAATTACTTCGTAAATAACCACTCTGATCGTACATACAAGTACTCTGAAGTTGACATAATCTTCGGAGACTAGGTCTTTAAAAAAACCTGTCGGAATATCGATGGACACTAAATGTTTTCCTTTTATATGATGCATGGCCTGTTTAACATTCCAATGAAGCAGAATCTATTAAAAAAGTTTTATTCGACTTTAATATATATCAACTAGACTTTGATATATATCAACAACGTGATATCAATTAAAATAATTACTATCATTCATATGACGACGAGATATATCCAGCAAACTTCAAATTAAAGACACAACAGAATCTGCTGTGACTGTTACATATTTAGATGATTTGCTGACTAAAGATTGTAAAACCACAATGTAATAATAACTGACAATGTAATTGTATGACAATTGAGCTGCTTTTAATGTTTCCATTATCAACTTTACTTATTTCTATTTATGCCTTCCATATGATAATAGTGCAAATTTAAAACCAAGTTTCCCGCAGCTCTGTTATTTTTCAGATTGAATGAAAACCAAGAATGAGTATTGTTGTAACATCATGTATGCTGCTAGTTTACATTGCGAACCAATAACTTTGAGACAGTAACATGGAAAACTTTGACATCATGTATACTGCTAGTTCACATTGCAAACCAATAGCTTTGAGACAGTAACATGGAAAACTTTGACATCATGTATACTGCTAGTTCACATTGCAAACCAATAACTTTGATGCAGCAACATGGAAAACTTTGACATCATGTATACTGCTAGTTCACATTGCGAACCAATAACTTTAATACAGCAATTTACATGGAAAACTTTGACATATGTATACTGTAAGTTTACCCTGCGAACAATAACTTTGAGACATTACCATGGAAAAGTTTGACATCATGTTCTGCAGGTTTTCATGGAGTAATATATATCTAAAAGAAGTATATAATATATATATATATATATATATATATATATATATATATATATATATATATATATATATATATATATATATATATATATATATATATATATATTTTTTTTTTTACTTGAATGTTTAGAACAGAAATCTTTCTAAATATCTTACTAGATATTTGACTCTTGTCCTATACATATGCATCTATTAATTTCCATGATTTATGCTCATATATCATGTATATCATTATATCAAACTTCAAATTTATACTGGCCTTCGCCTCCTGCAAGTGTTGACCACCGCATCTTTGATATACTATTGAGGTTTTGACCATAGGTACTGAATCGGTACTGCATGATTTTGTAGATAGGTGAACTCCATCAGGTACTGTAGGTTAGTCCCAAAACCCCGGTGTTTCCAAAATGACACATATGGTAAGGATTCAGACACAGAGTTTGGAAGCTGATTAATCTCAATAACAACATTGTTGCATCCCGGTGGCAAGTTTTGAGGATCCTGTCGGAGAAGTTGCATAACAATTACATGCTTCACACTCGTGCCATGAATCAGGAAGTTCGTTAAAGAAATGATATACCTTACAATCTTTGTGGGGGGTCGAAGGAAAGTTCGTTACCTCCGATTTGAAAAAGGCAAATGTCAGGGGCTGTGGAGAAAGTACATAGTGTTCACGATGTCGCCAAACCCTTAACGGTTAACCCACCTTGGCCACGGATCAACAATGAGAATATATTTCGGTCAAAACAAAGATTTTTGTATCACATATTGTCTTTCATATACTTGTCCATCCTTCTAATGTACGAATGGCCGATTAGCGCAACCCTCGTCATGTCCGCCATTTTGAAACACCCCGCATGTACCCAGGCTCCGATGGAGTCGAAAAACAGTCACAAAGGGAATCCGAAATATCACCATTTACATATGATATCAACTGTGCATAAAGTCCTATGCACTGCTAATCCACTGATTCTTAAGCATTGATCAAGATGAATAATCCGAAATCGTTATGTTTTTCTTACAAACAATGGTGTGTACAAACACTTGCAGCATCCGCCAGCGATAACAATCACGTGATATTTCTGACGTTAGCTAACGACTAATCAACGCAAAGCCCCAAAATCTGAGACTATGCATTACATAACGTTCTATCTCTGAAACCTGAGATATACATAAAATATACTACAATCACTACATTCTAACCACAGAAATGGAAAATTACATATGTATGCATAAAACATATTATTATCAATAATATTACATTATGTAGTTATATCCTTTATCACCTGCATATGGTATTTTAAACAGCCTGTCTCCGAGAAAAGCATGCAAAATAGTCCGAAAGCAGGTTTCTCGGATTGCCTTCAAATTTTATGGGCCAAATCTACTATGCATAAAATGAAATCGGACAAAATTTTACTGAGCTAATCAAACCCACATATGTTTTATGGCATGTTACTAAAAATAGCTCTTATGCAAATAAATTTGAGGTAATTTTTTAACATTTTAGACATATTTCGAGGAGAAAAAAAATTGCAACTTTAAAAATTATTCAAATATTCTGTTTTGTAGTAAAAGAATAAAGGTTAGTTCTTTTTAAATACATAGTCAGAATGATTGACATTCATTTTGTTTTAGTGCAAATAGGTCAAGAAATTGGCACTGTTCCAAAATTTGGAAAAAGTGACAATTTTTAGTGGAAATGAAACTATTGTAGTAAAAAGGGGGGGTGTTCTAATTCAGTAAATTTTATTGCTTATTGTTAAGAATACCTATGTTAACAAAACATGAAAAAATTACCCTTGGCTAATGTACACTTTAGAAAATATTGAAAGTCAAAGTTTGTGAAATTTTCAAATGAAAAATTTCAAGGACACAGAGCTACTCAAAAAATAGCTAAAAACATGTCCAAAACTTTTTAAAAAAGTTATTTTGTAGAGTTTTTCCTATCTGTATTACAGAATTTAAACAAACATAGCTCTCATTTAGCTCTCAATTTAATAATTAATGACTTTAAATTAAAAAAAAATACATGGAAAAGAGGTTTGGGAAGGGGTGGTGGTGGCTATGAATTCTTTATTATAAACCACTAAATGGATAAACTTAAGTATAAACATTTATTTACATTTAATGCATGTATACATACTTGCTCAATATTTACACAAGTGAACACATTATTCATCATACTAATCATTTGATCAACATATTCATTTGAGTGTTAAGTAGAAACAATTTCTGCAAATTTTCAACATCTTCGATACAAACATTGAGGTATTTCAGACAAATTCTTTTTACGGGGGGACAGGTGAAATGACTTGAAATTTTTTTTTTTGATGAATGTGACACAATACGTCTTTCTTTTTTAGGTCACCTGAGTAAACTCAGGTGACCTATTGCTATCCGTTTTCGTCCGTCGTCGTGCGTCGTGCGTTGTGCGTTGTGCGTCGTGCGTGGTGCGTTGTGCGTTAACATTTGAACATTTTCAGCTTCTTCTTTGCAACCACTGAACCAATTTCAACCAAATTTGGCACAAAGCATCTATGGGTAAAGGGGAACAAAAATTGTGAATTTCATGATCCCTGCCCCCCAGGGGCCTGAGGGGTGGGGCCAAAACCACTAAAATTAATGCAATCTTTAAAAATCTTCTTCTTTACTCCTGGGCATCAAGCAGTCAAACTGTTTGCATGATTGTAATCAGCAATGAGTCCTCTACCAAAATTGTGAAATTCATGGCCCTGGGGTCAGGGGTTCTAGTGCTAGGGCGGGGCTAAATAAGTAGGTAGTGAAAATGCATTATTTCTTTGAAAATCTTCTTCTCTGCTCCTGGGTATTAAATAAACTAACTAAGTACATAGTTATGATGAGCAAGAGTGCCTCTACCAAAATTGTGAATTTTATGGCCCCAGGGTCAGGGGTTCTGGTGTTAGGGCGGGGCTCTATTGATTATATAGTGAAAATACATGAATTCTTTGAAAATCTTCTTCTCTGCTCCTGGGAATTAAATAAACTAACTAAGTGCCTAGTTATGGTGAGCAAGAGTGCCTCTACCATGGCCAAAATTGTGAATTTTATGGCCCCAGGATTAGGGGTTGGGTATTGGGGGGGGGGGGGGGCTCTATTGATTATATAGTGAAAATACATGAATTCTTTGAAAATCTTCTTCTCTGCTCCTGGGTATTAAATAAACTAACTAAGTGCATAGTTATGATGAACAAGAGTGCCTCAACCAAAATTTTGAATTTTGTGGCCCCAGAGTCAGGGGTTCTGGTGTTAGGGTGGGGCTCTATTGATTATATAGTTAAAAAATACAGGAATTCTTTGAAAATCTTCTTCACTGCTCCTGGGTAATAAATAAACTAACTAAGTGCATAGTTATGGTGAGCAAGAGAGCCTCTACCAAAATTGTGAATTTTAAGGCCCCAGGATTAGGGGTTCCGGTATTGGAGGGGGGGGGGCTCTATTGATTATATAGTGAAAATACATGAATTCTTTGAAATCTTCTTCTCTGCTCCTGGGTATAAAATAAACTAACTAAGTGCATAGTTATGATGAGCAAGAGTGCCTCTACCAAAATTGTGAATTTTATGGCCCCAGGGTCAGGAGTTCTAGTGCTATGGAGGGGCTCTATAGATTAAGTAGTTAAAATACCTGAATTCTTTGAAAATCTTCTTCTCTGCTCCTGGGTATTAAATAAACTAACTAAGTGCATAGTTATGATGAACAAGAGTGCCTCAACCAAAATTGTGAATTTTATGGCCCCAGAGTCAGGGGTTCTGGTGTTAGTGTGGGGCTCTATTGATTATATAGTGAAAATACAGGAATTCTTTGAAAATCTTCTTCATTGCTCCTGGGTATTAAATAAACTAACTAAGTGCATAGTTATGATGAGCCTCTAGCAAAATTATGAATTTTATGGCCCCAGGGTCAGGGGTTTTGGTGTTAGGGCGGGGCTCTATAGATTATATAGTGAAAATTCATTTAATCTTTAAAAATTTTCTTCTCTGCTCTAGGGTATTAAGCAGATGAACTACCTATATAGTTATGATCTACAAGGGCCCTAATCTTCCAGAATTGTGAATTTCAAGGCCCCAGGGTCAGGGGTACCATGGGGGGTGTACTTATATACTGAAAATGAATGAATGGTTTGAAATCTGCTCCTTGGTATTAATCAAATATCAAGGCCTAAGGGTCAGGGGTTCATGTGTGGTAGGGGCACTACTGATTATTGCTGAATATAACTGATTAGTTGAAATGCATTTTTTGTTCCCCTACCTTGTGTATGGGTATTAAGTAAACAAACTAAGCAACTGCTAAGTGTATTGTTATGATGAATTAAATTTAATCACTGGAAAGTTGTTGCATGATGCTCAGGTGACCTATAAGGCCCATGGGCCTCTTGTTTGAGCTAGTTACCCATTTATTTCGTTTATAAAATTTCATCATTTTCATTCATTACTTTCTTCTTCTGCCATACAACACAATCTGGACAATTTACTGCTCTCTAACATTCTTCAGTACAGTATCATGGACAAGTAATTGTTCACTTTCTGGGAGAATCACTTTCTGGATTTTGAAGCCAAACAAATTCATTTTCCTGTTGGCTTATACTAAACTCCACCAATACCTGATCCTGATAGGACACTTTGCAGTTTCTATCCATAGCTTGTGAAACTCTCTAATGCTTTGAACATTTTAGAAGCATACAAATTTGCTGTGATGTTCTTACTTGATCTTGAATTTGTAAAATATTGTGGAATCATCAATGTTCGTGGGGGACCAATGTTCGTGGCTTTCTTGGGTAACCCTGACCCACGAATTTACATCCCCACGAACGTATATTCAAACATTTATATTATCATTGTTAAAAAAAATACACAGACTATGAATTTTATATCGTAAAATAACCGTTATCCTTGTGTTCGTGTGATCGCTCATAATGAGACAATTAGCAGGGCTAAATTATAAATTATAAAATTATAATGTATCAAAGACATCGATAATTATATACAATAATTAGAAAAGGATAAACATTACTGTTAAATTTAAGTAGTGTTTACATTATAATCCAACACGCTCAAATGCCCTTCTGATGAGGTCACTTTTTAGTACGATTTTGAAGTGGGTGCTAATTATAATTAGCCAATTAGCATGAACTGGTTTCAAGGTTTTTATGTCAATTTGGCATTGTCACTGTCGTTCTCATCCAGAGATTTAAAAACCTGTTGATTTAAGTTGTTCTTTACCATCGTAATTTACTGCGACTCGTCGGTGCAAGCCAACGGTACATTTATGTGTTCACAAGAGAGATAACTTGAATAAGCAACATTGACGGAGTTATCCTTCTTTGTTTTAACATTTAAAAAAATCGAAATAGAACTTGTTACCAACGAAATTACCTCCCCACGAACCAGTAAATTTTTGGCTACCCATGAACATTGACCCCCACGAATAAAAATGATTCCACAGTAAGTGAGATTTCCAACTGCCAAATATTTTTTTAAAATTTCAAGATTGAAAATTCTTTTTGGTCTGATGAATATTAACAAGAGTAATACATGTATTGATGATTACTACTCTCTCAAACAACACTGCCTGACGTTGATATTAGATGATTTAATATGTCATCATTTTGCTAGAGCCAAACTATGGAATGAGGAGGGTTCAAAGTTTTTACACTACGCTAGAACTACGTAATAACAAGGTATAACCCTGTCTGTATAGTTCACTGTTCATCTTTTTGATTGTCGAACACTCTGCTCATTTTTTTCTTCCAATTTACTTATCTGTTTGTTGTTTAGATATAGTAATGAAATTCAATGATTTCATATTCATTTTTTTTTAACATTCAAGTCTAACATTTTGTCACCAATATTATTGTTTGCAGTTGAGTGTAAAGTTTTGCGTTACGTCACGATCATTTTCGTCAGGTGCATCCAGCGTAAACAATTCACGTGATTGGTCGACTCATATTTTCAACATTGACATGGAAATAGTCTGTTGCACGAACAACCAATCAGGGATAAGAAAAAAATTCCAGTCGTAAAGCTTACGGTTAGGAGGCGTGTACAATTTACCTTGAGCGCAGCTGTCAACTAGATCGTGACGTAACGTAAAACTTTACACTCAGCTGCAAACAATAATATATGCTTTATAGTTAGTGTTATTTGTTCTTAATTGTGATATATTACAATATTGCAAAGTAAATTTCACAAAATCTATTTAATTTTGGTTAAAATAGATTAAATATTATATATATTTTTTTAATGTTTTCTTTTTTTTTCTTTAAAATTTTAATCTTAATATGTTCATATTGGAAGATTTCATTTTCGTTGAAAATTTTCAAAGCAGTTGAATAAAAGCGTTGATGCTTATTCTGAAAAAGTATGAATTCAATGACGAAATTTTTGTTATTAACTTGAAACTTCATTTCAGTACGTCTCTAACTTCACGGAAGAGAAGATAATTTGTGGCATTGATTTGACAAGTATAACAAATAAAGCAACCAAAATAGAGTTGATCGTCACAGACAAAGACGACGTGAATGTAAAAATTAAAATTATTATTTACTTTTCAAGCCTACGTCCTCTTTTTCTCTCATAAAATTCACATCACACTTACTAATACTTATAATGATCTTAGGAATAATGAATAAATGAAATATTTGATATTAGAAAAATCAAAATTTGTTTATTCATGTAATTTCTGCAATTATCATTGTATTAAAGACACCATTCCTTTGTCATTCGAGAGCTTATAAATTATATTTTGAATAACAATATTTCAGATTGAGTTTTGCAGTGACATAAGTATGCAATGGTTTGAAACATGCTTTCGAGCAAAAAAATTGACCTTTAACGTATCTGGTTTGAAAAACAGAAGAAATCTAACTTTGTATGAACTTGCAGGTAAATCCTTTTGCATACGCGTAAGTTATAAAAGCATCTTTATAATCTCATTATCAAAAAGTGAGACGACTGTCCTTTGCATTTAGAGTTTTTTTTCCATTAAAAACTCATTTATGCCAAAAAAGTGAGCTTTTCTTCTTTTTTTTGAGGAAAAAAAACCTATTTTGTTTATTTTAAATTAATAATACCATATTAATGTAATATTTTTCCTCTCTCTAGATGACGCGTTGTTAATGGTTGATCGTATCGCCGTTTTAGGATTTTATCGTACGTATCCTGAATAAGTCATGTAACTTCTTAGTGTTCATGTAGGAAATTTAAGCATATAGAATATGATTAATTTTATCTCAATTATGAAAATTGTAAGCTTTTTTCTGATTTATATCGGGGTATGTGTTATGTATTTTTGATAAATATACGTTTGATTGCCTTCTGGATTGATTCAAATAATTGGTTAATCACAATCATAAATAATTTGTCGTTAATATAGTAATCATAGTTGACTAAAAACCGAAGGAAATTCTAATACGTACAGCTCTAGAAAAATATATAAGTAGAATTTTTTTGAATCGTAGTTGCAAAATCATTTCATTATTAAACATTCTTAAATTGTTTGTTTTTCTGCACTTTGGATTTGGATTGATCAAATGATATGGTACATTGATCTTTTGTGTCATATTTTATTTTATCAAATAAAATCTGTAACAAAGTAATGTTACAGATTTTATTTGATAAAATAAAATATGTCAGAAAGGATAAAATCCTATAAATTGATACACATCATGTACATTAATGGTTTTTCAGACAAAGAGGAACCCAAAGTAAGTAAGTGGGAATTTCTGAACGACTACCCACCGGAAGAAGTGCTGAACATCATGAGACCAGTGCTGCAAAAAGCTAGGTCTGCAGGGGAGGTGGCAGTTCAGAACCTCTCGTCAAGTATCCGTAAGAAAGAGAGTGCAACCGACTACCGGAAGTCATCAAAAGGAATAGGAATCCTGGGAGGTTGTCTTCTTGGATTAGTTTTCTTGATCATCTTCGTGTCTGATGTATTCATCATCAAAGCGCACTTGAAAGCCATGTATCGGAATATTTTAAATCTGTTTAGACCATCACCTATTGTGCATATTTACACATAAGTTGATTGATCTTAACATTTGAAGAAATTTAATTTTATAAACAAGGTATGGCTAAATAAAACTTGAAGTTAAAATATTTTAATAAAAAAGATTTTACAATATAATAGATTTTCGTTCGCCATGTCCACATCAACAGTGTTTTCAGTAGTTTTATATAAAGGAAAATATTTGCAAATGTAAATATCATGAATATAAACCAATACTAAAATCTATGTATTTTCTTTTAAAATATTTCTAATTCTCGGGGGTGGGGGTGGGGGGGGGGGGGGTGGGGGGGTGTACGTTTTCAGAATTTGGATATTTATTTTCATTTTCAAATATGACCAGAGACAAGGAACAAAAGGAAATGAAGAAAATTTGTTTCTTGGGATGGGGTGGAGGGTAAGTAGTTCCATTCGAGATCAAAGTAATATAATTTATTTACTAATTATTTACTTAATCAATCTACATTTCTAAGGAGTGAACGCAAATACCAACCAATGAAATCCTTCTTAAGGGATAAAAAAGAATAAATAATTCTCGGATACAATACAAATGAAAAAGTGTCGGAAAGAAATAAAAATTCTTAAAATACAAATAACAACTTATACAATGCAAATGGAAAATTGTAGAATACAAATAAAAATGATATGATAAAAAAAATCATACTGTACAAACAGAAAATAATAGAATACAAATATAAATTATACAATACAATATATTAATGCAAAAGGGATGTTTGTAAAACACTTATGCCCCCTCCCCGAAATAATTGGACGTCCAAGGGAAATTAGTCCGTCAAAAATAGCTCTATCGTACCCACACAGAACTTGATCTACATATTCTTATGATAAATCTGTATACTAAATTTCATTTCAATATGTGCAACCGCTGTGAATAAAATTATCTGCAAATAATTGGAATTTTTCTAAGTCCGAGGGGGCATAAATCTGTCAAAAATGGCTCAATCGTACCCAAAGCATAATTTGAACTAGATAGTCTTATGATAAATCTGTATACCAAATTTCATGTGCGAGGGAAAGGAACGGAAAAGTGGTGGACCGACATACAGACCGATCGACAGACAGATCAACCGACCGACTGACAGACAGCAGCAGAGCAGTATGCCCTTCCTTCTTCGAAGAGGGTATAATTATACATTATGAATGAATAAATTATACAATACAAATAGAAAGAACAAGACTTACCTTTGCCTTATTTGGCCCTGTGTATTTCTGAAAATCTGAAACTTCACAGTTTTAGTTAAAAATGCATTGAATATCACTTAGATCTTTGATGACTGCGTATCTATCAAAAATGACGTAATTTTCTGGCTAGTCAATGCATTATGACGTCACAAATTGCGTCATTTTCCTCATATTCTGAAAAAGTGTACAAAAACGACAAATTTTTAAAGCTATTTTTCAATATTTAATATAGAGCGCAACCTCTGATCTAAAATATGCAACTAGTAAGTGATAGAACTGTTCTTGAGAATTAAAAAACATGTTTTATTTTTTAGATCAGAGAGTGCGCTCATATTATTTTTCTTCCCTGAAAGTACTCAATTATACCTGTTTACCTAAAAAAAATCGAAGAACATTGCAATTTCATAAAGCCAGTTCTCCAAGACCTGGACTTTTAGGAGAAAATTTTTAATACGATATGAAAGCACTAAGTCTCTATTTTATTTTAATGCTTCAAATGGAAAATCAAGTGTTGATCAATCAATTGGTTTATCTACAGGGCCATTTTATGCATAAAGTGAACCGACTTCTTACACAATACGAATAGAAAGTTGTAGAAAACAAATGAATTATACAAATGAATACAAATAGAAAAGTTTAACATACCATAATGAAACATATGGGAATAACGAACAGTATTCAAGATCAAATGTCTACAAAACAATACAAAACAGGAGCAGAGCAAACACGGACCTCCAAAACATCAGAAGTGGGATCAGGTGCCATGGAGGAGCATTCCCTGCTGACCGGTCACACCCGCCGTGTGATCCTTGTGATGATCGGGAAATAATGGAAAAATCCGTCGTCAATTCAAGGTATGAATAACGAACTAACAATTAATATGAAAAACGTTAGTCAGCATTTGACTCAATGATAAGTTGTATTTGCTGACAAGGTCACTGTATCGACCATAGAACTTACGAAATGATGACTTTAAACGAGACATCTAAAATTCTTGTTTCATCAACTTGTTTGTCAATAATTGACCTCATTTTAGAAACTGTTCATATGTGTGCAGACTCTTGTGCATCGAATCAAGTGAGATATATAAACTCCGTATGTAGGTGATGAAGGTATATTGCTGCATAAGTAAGGGAAGTTGGCGATAGAAAAGTTAAAGTCATCACGTTTATTATACAGCTTGGTTGTTAGATTACCATTTTTTTTTTCAAGTAAAATATCAAAATATGAATAGAAGTGTCTTCATCTTTTAAGTATAAGATTTTGGACAAATTCTGCTTCACATGATTACAAAAATAGGTCTGCTAATAACAGGGTGTAATTGGTACCCATGGGAATTCCAATTAATTGTTGGAAGACCTTGGGCTCGGAACATAAAGCTTGCTAAGATTTTGACTTAAGTAGGCTCATAAGTACGTTTTAGGCACACTCTTAGGACCTATCTAAGGACTACTTAAGTATGTCTTAAACCGTAACATAAAACGAACTTAGTGAGGTCTTAGCTAAGTCAAATTTATGTTTAAAATATTTTTTATGAATCACTTTATATTTTTTTCATTTTATTCAGATACATTGCTACAAAATGATTTGGTTATATTGTTATTAAATATTTATAAAAATTGACCTCCTTATGTATCGATTTTAGTTATGTAAGATTAGATTTCGTCTAAAAGATTTCATTCTGTTATAAAATACACTGAATAACTTATTTAAAAAAAAATACTGCGTGGTCACAAATTGGCGATTTGTGGTTCATGACTATTGTTGAACCCTCGAAACTGCGATGTTTTCAATAACCGTTTGTTTTTCTTTTGTTTTGACAAATGTCACTAATTTTGTAATTCTCGTAGACATGTCAAGATAACCGAACGTCTGTCTTCTTGAAATTAAAACTCCAAAACAATTTGGACCCCCCCCCCCCCCCCCGATGTCTCAGCCCAGGTCAGCAAACAAAGACTGCAGTATAGTTATGATTATTTATGATTTTATCAAGGAGGGAATTGTTTCAGGAGCTCCATTTATCAACAAATCTCTCTCTCTCTGTCTCTCTCAATCGATTGAACTGTAGGAAACCCTGTCTAAATCCGCGCTTGTCGTGTTCTACATTTATTTTAATTTACATACTCTCTATTTCAGTTTTTTTGGTCATCATCGTCTTATTTACCAACATTTTTTCTGTGTTTGAAAATATATTTCATATCATATTTTCAAAGTCAGCATACAAATCCATGCTTTATTACTGTGTTCAATTCATTTATAATGATAAATGTTTATAACCGGGATCCCACTAATTTCAGATGTATCCCAAAAATTAAATTATGCATCGACATGTAAAGTGTGTTGAGAGTAATACTGGAACAATATTGGAATCATTGATCAGTAAAACTACCCGCCCCCGGGCCGAAAAAAAAATCTTATACCAGTATTTAAGAAAGATAATTATTTTTTTCTTTAATGCATTATATGAATAAAGAAATCTTTTAACACCGAAAGTCAACATAAAATAATTCTAAATATATGTATAGGAAAGTTAAGATATACTTAAGTAACCGCTACTGGCCGCCTAAGTTTTGCTAAGATTGCTAAATCTTAGCACGCTTCTAGTTACGATCTTAATTTTTATACTGTACTTCAGTCCTGCTTAAGCACGGTCTTAAACCTGTGTAGCCTTTATGTTACGACACCTTGTTCTCCAAAAACAACATAGATATTGTCAATCAGAAACTCAAAAATCTTTTTGATGTCGACTTCAGAGTACTTGTATGTACAATCAGAATGTGTTTTTTTTTTTTTTACAAAAGTTTGCAATTGACCAATGACAAGGTAAGTTAATTTACGAGTTCTATTGTTATTTTAAAAAACACAGCTATCAATGATATCTAAAAACCTGGACTCTAATTTATCATTGGGAATGGTTGTGTATAAAGTTGAAAAGTCGTAAATTTTTAGGCTGTAGATTTTGGTAAAATTTTAAAAAGATAAGGAGACCTCACAAATTCACAACTAATCAAAGGAAAGGTAACATGCTTTTGGAATGCAAAGACCTCGGAGACTATTCTATTCAGGACAATAATAGCAAGAAAATGAGTTTGTTAAGATAAAAGGTTTTCACTGAGTTTCATTACATTCAAGCATCTTGATTTAAAACTTTTTAAAAACAAGAAATCGATGTTATTTAATTTTAAGCTAAAATATGATAAAAAGAAGGTAAAATCTTATTTTAAATTTACGGAATCAATAATAAAGGGTTTTAAATTTTATGAAAAATATCAGTTACTATTAAGATTATCACTTAATATCATTGATCATGAATAATGAATGGTTTTTGGCAGATATATGAGTTTCTTTGAAGTACTTGTTCGAAGAACCAAAATGAATTTTTCAAAATCAATTTTTAAATGTCACATTGCCTTTTCACTAAATCTAATTATAAGTGTGCTTTAGAAGTCTGCAACATTAAAAGAAAATTTTAGATTTCTATCTACACTCATATCAGAAATGCAGAAATGTCAACAGTCATAAGGTTCCTGTTGTAAATTTTTCAAACTCTTAAGACTATATTAACATCATTTTTTACAAAAACACTTCTTCACTTATTATTGAATGCTACTTTTAGAATAATTAAAAAGAATATACTTTAATATAACAAAGAAAACTTTTGAAGAATTTGAAATGGAAAAATTTTATAAAAAATAATAAAACTAGACTTTAAGCCTTTTAAAAATTACACACAAACGTTCCTCACTTTAATAATTTAAACTCCAGTTTCTTTTTACAACATTAACAGCTGCTTTTTCAATAAAATGAAAGTGGTCATTTAGAAATGTATGTTGTTAACAAATTCTGACTGTAAACACACATACTCTGAAGTTGATATTAAAAAGATGCTTGAGTTTCTAATTGATAATATTAGGTCTTCCAACAATCTGTTGAAATTTCCATGGGTGCAAATTGCACTCTGTTATTGCGCAAATCTATTTTTGTGTTGATATTAAGCAGAATGTATGCAAAAACTTGCCGTGACCTTCAACTCGATATTTAGATATATCGAGGACACATTAGTTAACAATACTAATTTCAATTCATATGTCGACACGATATATGCAAGTGTGCTTGAAATTACATACCAGAGAGTCTGATACATCTGCTTCTAATTTAGATGTTTTATTAAAAAAATATACAGTCGTTTAGCCAGTTCGGGATTTTGGCCAGTTCCGAATAATTCGCTGATATAACAGGCGTTAATAAATAAATACATAAATCGAAAAAAATATTGTTACCCTTAGTAAAAAGGCATATTAATGCTCTATCGAATCTTGCAAAGTTTTGATTTTTTCCGGTCGATTTGTGTAAGATATCGAACTTGAATATAGTCGACCTACTTTTACAATGCAACAAATCCGGATCACTTCGACGCTTTGACATAAAGAAATAAAATTTTGTTGTAAACCAGTTACGTGTCTAAAAACATTTGAGGTGTCAAAAGTAAGTATGAAACATATATGAACAAACCTCAAAAGATTGTGGGAAATGAAATATTAAAACTAACGTAGTACATGATTTTATTTGTGCTGTCATTTTGCCAGTTCCGAATATCCTCTGTAAACACTCTCGTAAAATAACAACATGGCAGATAACGCAGTGCTTTGCGTTAAATGATTCATGGACTGTGTCAGAAATTAATGACAAGTTTGAGCAGTTAATTATGTCTAACAAAGTGAGAAAATAAAAGGTTTTACATCTTTTTGAACTGGAAATATATGGACTAAGGAACGTCTGGTTGGAATTTTCATTTTCAGTAAGCCTAACTGCTAAAGGTTAATGAAAATAAAATGAAAATGCTGCATATTTAATTGTATAACATGTTCACCCTTTCAATTTTGTCTTTGGGGGAATTTTATAATAAATTAAAGTTAAAATTTTGGGGAAAATTTTTTTTTAACCTTTCAATATTAACTCGAAATGCTTTCATTTTTTTCTTCCTTTTTTAAATTAAAATTTTATTTTTATTGAGACTCCATACTTTTGCAAGCAAACTTTATTATTATATTTTAATATATTTTAGGAGAAATCAGTAATGGGAAAATGTAAGAAAACAGTTGCCAAAACACATAGCCCACTTTTTGTAACAGCATCTAAAGTTAAGAAAAAATACTGCAGAGGATTCCCTAAATCCCCATCAAAAGCATCCAGAGCAAAGAAGGCTCTGTTTGAGGTACAGTCGGGGAAAAGTATTAATAAGTCTGCGGAAAAGTACAAATTATCCTTCGGTTATCTCCATAGGAGGGTGACTGGTGAAGTTTCTATAGAAAGTAGAAATGGACCATCTCCTTTTTTATCAGTCGTCGAAGAAAATTCAATTGCCAATTATGTGAGTGAAATGGCACAAAGGGGAATGGGATTGGGGACATCTGATATATTAGATCTGGTCCAAGAATTCTTAAAAAAAGACAAGCGTAGAAACCCATTTAAGGATAGCAGGCCAAGCTATTCGTGGTATTATGCATTTATGGCGAGACACTCGGACAAATTAGAAAAAAAAGAAAAGAAACACTGCTTGAGGCCTCTCGCTCGAAAGTCACCAAAGAAATTGTAGATGAATGGTTTTTAAAGTACAGAGCATTTCTCTCAGAAAGAAACATGCTGGATAAACCACATAGAATATACAATGCAGATGAGACGGGCTTTACGATGGGGAGTAAGGCTGGAGTGGTTGTAGGACCAACAAGACAGAGGTATACAGAGGACATTCCGCACTTGTCAGGAGGATCTACAAAACAACGTATGACTGTGATGTATTGTGGTAATGCTGAAGGAGTTCTTTTACCACCATTTTTTGTGTATCCAAAACCCCAGCCTACTGCATATGATCCTTTATTAGGAGCCACAAGAGGTTCTGCTATACATTACACAAAAAAAGGATGGATGGACTCAGAAGCTTTCTCCACATTCATCGACCATTTTCATATGAATGTAAGCAAGAATGATAGACCAGTTGTTCTTTTGATTGACAGCGTAAGTTCACATATTAACATGGACATATTTACAAAAGCAAGAAGAAGGGGAATTGAAATTTACAGACTAGTACCAAATGCTACCCATCTCATGCAGCCCCTGGACAAAGGAGTTTTTGGTCCTCTGAAAAAAGAATGGTATGATACAGTGCGCAAAAACACAAGATTAAATCCTGACAAGCCTATTGACAAAAAAAGCTTTCCCTCAAAGTTGCATGAAACTTATGTTGCATTTTATAAACCAAGCATTATAATTGGAGCATTCAAAGGTTCTGGAATCTATCCTGTGAGGCGTTCTGCTATTTCAAATGACAGACTAAAACCATCGTATACTTTCATTGACAAGGAAGAAGATCCCGAAACAGAGAAGACTGTAACCAGAGATGATGAAGTGGAAACAAAAGCAGCTACTGAGGCTTTCCAACTATACAGTGATACTATAGGTACACCAGCAAGAAAAAGGTATGAACAGCGACTAGAAGAAGGATGGGATGTGGAAGGACTATCCCCTGGCTTCACAGTGTATAAGAAACTGAAAGAAAAGGCTCATCCTCCTACCATAAGTAGAACAAATCCAAGAACTTGTCAACAAGTATCACACACTACATCCCAAGAGACTGCTAAGCAACACAGTGTTGATATTCCATTGCCTTCCTCAGGACTGGATCTGTTAGCATGTGCAGCCTTAAGTTTACAAGATGAAGAAAACAAAGAAAATATAAAAACTGACAGTAATATGCCATGCAGTACCCCTGCTCCAGATACAGTTGTATCAAGTGTGTCACCTGCACTGGAAGAAATGACAAGATTACCTAAAATAACCAATATTAAAAAACCAAAACCTAAAAAACTTATAAGTTCTCTACCATACAGTTTAACTTCACCCGATGCTATAAGACAAATGGCTCTGCAAGAATTGAATTTTGCCAGGGAAAAAGCTAAAAAAGAAAAGGCCGCTAAGATACGCTACTTAAAGAAGAAAGAGAAGGAGGCTAAAGCAAATTCATCTGTGAAAGACACCTGTCGGAAACGATCTAAATCAAAGTCCTCCAAAACTGCAAATATCATGTATGTGAAGATGAAATTTAAGAAGTGAATTATGCTTTCATGAATGTAATTTTAGTTTTTTATGAATGATAGTTCTTGTATATTAGCATTACAAACTTTTTTGCAAATATTTTCCTTAAATAGTACTTCATTGCATCCATTAAAAAAGTGTTTCTCCATTTGTTTATCAGTGCTGTCTCAATATATCTATTAATCAATATGTATCAATATACTGTAGTATTCAAGAATGCATTGTATCAAAAAATTGACTTCCAATATGTATCGAGCAGACAGCTTTTTTCTTATATTTCTGTGAAAATTCTGGGAATTACAGTCATCAGAGATAATTTTTAAACTTTTTTAACAATTAAAACTGGTCAATATTAATGAAATAAACATTAAGAAGGAGCCCGTCTTAAATAAATATTGCAAAATTCATAGACAACAATATTGCAGTGTGTTAGTCTTACAGCCATTAAAAGTTCAATTTTGAACTGTACTTTGTAATGACAATGAGTCATGAACTTCCATTTTGGTAAATTAAATAAGATATCCAGGTGTATCACAGTGATGATCACAGTGCATCAAATGATTAACATTCGAAAGACTTTTTTGATAGATTTTTAAAGAATCCAATATATCGCATGTGGCTTATAAAAGATCTTAATATATTTGAAGTATTTCGGTCAGTACACAGCCTTAGTGTTTATATCCGAGCACTATATACTGACATAAGTATTGTTTCCTTAAAGTGCCATATTTTTTTTTCAAGAACTATTCACAGTTTCCAATATTGTCTGCTTTGTATAATCAGTTTCATTCCATGCAGACTTTTTAGTTGTGATTTTTATATTTCACATATGTATGTTTTTTAACATTTGAAATGATGCACAGAATAGTTTTAAGAGATGTTTTTAACATGAATAATAAATACAGGAAAGTTTTATTTCATAGCAGTATTTAATGTATTTTTTAAAAATATTTTCCAAATATGATTTCTAACATGAGATGATTCAAAGTGCTCTTTAAATATGTTTAAGTAAAAGAAAATGTTAAAAAAAACTTTGTTCTTTACTTTATTCTTGATTTAAGTTGAATGGTTTAATTTTCATTCTAAATGTGGAAAATAACGCTAACTTGGGAATATTTATTATAAACAACATTCATGGAGATCGATTGTATGATGTTTTGGGCAAATAAATATTGTCTAGGGTCGTTTTGTATGGAAACCGCTTAGTTATTCGGAACCCGTCGGCTTATTCGCAACCGGTCAAAAAGTCGCTCAAGTTAATTGTTAAGATAAACTTTAATTAGGAAGAATTAAATATGGTACGACTACATCTAAAACCAGAGGTATTTGGACTATTTTGACAAACAAGTTTGAGTTCAAAAAATATTAATGGCCGCGTATATTTATAGCACCGTAAAATCGGTACCTTATCCGGAACTGCCTAAACGACTGTATGTGAAAAGTAACCAAACAACAAAGCTTTAAAGTCATAATTTCGTAAATTCTATGGTCGATACAATGTCCTTGTTAGCAAATACAGTTTATCATTGAGTCAAATGCTGACTGATGTTTTTTATACGAATTGTTAGCTCAATATTTATACACTGAATTGACGACAGAATTTCCCGTTAATTCAGTGTATAAATGTCAAGGAGCACACGGCGAATGTGACCGGTCGGCAGGGGATGCTTACTCCTTAATAGCGCCTGATTCCACCTCTGATGTTTTGGAGGTCCGTGGTTGCTCTGCTCCTGTTTTGTATTGTTTGATGGAGTTTTGGTCTTGATTACTGTTCGTTATCTCAAAATGTTTCATGAAAATCAAGATTATTAAAACTTTTCAATCGTCAACTTTCCGAACTCATATCCTGTATATAGCGGTTATATTTCTCAGCTGATTCATCAATGCATATGCTGTATGCAAGAACAATTTCCAAAACGAGGTAAATTATTGGCAAACATGTTGACAAAACAACAATATTGTAACGTGTTTATCTGAACAATAGGGTTCTTTATAAGGGATATATGATTTTCCTTGTACTCTGTCTGAGTAAAAATGATTAGGAGATACAATAATTTTCCTTTACTCTTCCTGAGTATAATGATTCTGTATATAATTCAAAAATTATTAAACTATCAGAGGCTTTACCGAGGGCTATCTAATTATATGCAAGTGACTGGGTAACTTAATTCACCGCGCTTTCTAGGTAAAAGGGTTCCTATTAATATAGAGAATCAGGCGCCTCGATCTTATTAGACCTACTACCTCCTGACTCTCAAATTAATTCCCCTAATACCTTACCGCTGATGAACTTATCTATTCCTACCCTAGCCTTACGTTTTCCTGTCGTCTTCTCTGTGTCTTCTTCGCCGTCTGACTGCGATTATTTGAATCTGCCAATTGCACCGACTTATATACCCTTGGAATAATCTATTTCCAAGGGGTGTCAGGTCATTCCATTCTATAGGGGTGTTATATACGTTTCTCTTACGTTTCACTACCCACGCCTCTGATATCGTGCGTCCCGCACGCAAAATCAATAAGAATCATATATATTTTTTTTTTTATATTTATTCACTTATATATATATATTTTTTTATTTATTACTATATATATTTTTAAAGACATATATAGAGTAACTATCTGTTACAACATGCATAGCAATATAGTAAACATGTGGATCCCGTCTAGACCCCAATTACATCTACATATACTTGTGAACTGTACACAATAAAGCAGTTAATCATTCCAGATGTCCTCTTCCAATCGCTCGACTACTTCACCATCCTTTTGAAATTTCCTCGTGACCCTGATAATTTTCTGGTGACTCTTTTCTGCCTTGATTGCATCAGTTTGCGTTTCAACATCAACTTTCTGTACTTTCTTCTGACAGCAAACACAGTGTTGTTCATCAAAAGGCTCATTTTGGACATCAGAACCACTGTCGCTAGGTTCCACTACCTCTTCAGTTGTTGTAGGCAAATCTTTTGTCACGGTTTCTTGGACGCTAGCATTTCTTCGCTTAATCCCTGGTAAAACTGGAGATGTCTTCTTTCGGTATGTTCTGCCAGCTTCTAAGTCCACATCCTCAAACAGCAGTTGACCAGGATCCTTCCGCCAGTCTTCCTCATCTTCAACTCGTTTTGGTGTTTTATTCTGGTCAGTGGTTTCTTGATTTGGGTGTACTTTTTTTACATGTCGCACTAACACAATCTTTTTGCTAAAAGCTTTATCGCAATGATCACATTCAAATTTTCTCTTGTTGATATCTTCCATACCACAATTCAGGATATGTTTACCCCACTCGTCCTTGGTTGGTAAACGACTAAGGCAAATACAGCACAAAAATCCAGGTTTTCTTGGTGTAACTTTGGTCTTCGGCATTCTGTCTTACAATCTGAAATAAATACAATCATATTAAACATTGTAATCAAACTCGTATTCAGAATGCCATGCAGGCTTTTTTCTTTGTCTACGACCTGTAAGCTAATTCTATTTCATTCAATTCTGAATTTCCTAACATTTCCATATGAGTTTCATCATTGTTAATTTCAACATCAGCACCCTGATCCTGATCTTTTGAAATGACACTCTCATTTTCATCCCTAAGGACCTGAGCCCCATAAGGTCTTATTCTATCTACATGTACAATGAGGGTATTTTCAGTGTCATCTTTGCTGATTTTGTATGTGACATCAGTGTGTTTCTCTATTATTGTATATGGACCGTACCAGAAACTCATAAGTTTTGCAGACCTCCCTACGCTTCTCTGTGGAAAGAAAACTAAAACCTTATCACCAACACTGAAACCTTTCCCGACAACATTCTGATCATGGTACTTCTTTTGCCTCAACATTGATTGTTTACTTATTTGGCGTGTGTATCTATATGCCTCTTCCAAGCTCTCACGAAGTTTCCAAACATAATCATGTACATAAGTCGGTTTCATATCACTGGGTAACTCGTACATTATATCTAGAGGTGTTGCTACCTCCCTCCCTAACATGAGCATGTTTGGACTGTAGCCTGTACTTTCATGCAAAGAGGACCGATATGCCATGAGGACATAAGGTAAGTTTTTGTCCCAGTCAGTTTGGTGGTCAGACACGTAGGCACTAAGCATGGTAGCCAAAGTTTTATTGAATCTTTCCACCATGCCATCGGACTTGGGATGGTACGCTGTTGTTCGGGTCTTTCGTATACCAAGTAGATTGCAAACCTCACTGAAAAGCTTGCTTTCATATTGTCTGCCTTGGTCACTGTGTATAATCTGTGGCACACCGAACCTGGTTATGAATTGTTCCACTAAAACTTCAGCCACTGTCTGTGCTTCCATGTTCTTGAGAGGGTAAGCTTCTGTCCACTTAGTGAAGTAGTCAGAGATCACTACGACATACCTATTACCGTTTTCAGTTTCAGGAAGTGGCCCCATGATATCTGTAGCTACTCGCTCCATAGGGTTTCCAGTTTGATCCATCTGCATAAATGTCTTCCCAGCAGAACGAGTCTTTCTTTTCCGACACTGAGGACATCCTGTGACATAATTCCTAACGTCACTCTGTAACCCAGGCCAATAAAACTTTTCTCGAACTCTTGCCAATGTTTTTGCAACACCAAGGTGTCCGGCTGTACGTACATCGTGACACTGCTTAAGGATTTCTCTTCTTTCTGATAATGGGATCAACACCTGATTATAACTTTTCCTATCGGCTACCCATTTTCTAGAAAGTAAATTATCCTTCAATTCCAAGAATTTATACTTTGACCAAAGAGACTTAATAACGTAGCTTTCATTTTTAATCTGGACATATTCTGGGCGTTCTTTCTGTTCCACCCATCCCCTTACATTCTTCAAATCGGGATCATTTTCTTGAAGACTTAGCATTGAAGACTTTTCATCAGGAACAGAGTCCGAGGTTACTATCAGTACATTTGCCCCCTTGTCAACATTTTCTTCATGTCCACACTGACGACATGGGTATCTACTTAAACTGTCAGCATTACTGTGTTTGGCTCCGGGTTTGTGAGTGATTTCTAGGTCATACGAGGGGCGTTCAATAAATAATGTCATTAGCTCGATGACATACAACATAGTAGCCATATGACATAAAGCTTGACTTTCTCTCATTATTGAATCTTTAATGAATTTATAACAGTTTATGTGACCACTTTTCATCACATAGTTTTATCGTGAGAAGCTGGGAAACAAGGGCTATTCGAGACACTGCATTATAAATGAATGGTAAAGAATCAGTAAACTAGAGTGAAAATAAAAGCTACATTAAAGCTGCTGTAAAACTTGTTAAAAATCCCAAAGAAATATTCACTGAAATATGTGACATTTACAGCAATCGATGCCTGTTTTATAGACAAATTAGCAGGTGGATTTCAAAGATAAAAAATTATATAATGGGCATCAAAAATGGGTACCCTCCTTGCCAACAAAAATTGTAACAACTTATGTACTGTTTGCCAAATTTCAACAAATAATATTTGATGTTGTATGATTGACTTTAAGACACATAGCAAATTTGATAGACATCATATCGGGAGTAGTTTACACTGTTTTTAAGAAACGTTTGACAGTAATTAAGCTTGGTACTCTAAGGTCACCCTGTATTTTGAAAAATGAGTAAAAACGACAGCGTGTACAAAAGTCTTAACAATTACTTTAAAATATCACTAATTGTAGTAATCCACGTTTGTTTTATATTTAAACAGATATTGGAACATGAATCTATTGCTTAAAACCATTAAAACAAAATTTACCATAAGATGTACTTGATAAAAACGGCGAAGGTCTGTCAAGAGCAAAGGTATGCAAGAGCACAAAAACAGATTTATATGCAATTTTCTTAAATATTAGTGGTATTATTGTTCAAATTCGTATTCGGGGAGACAGTTTAATATCTGGAGGTGTCTAGAAAGAAGTTTTTTGCAAAGAAATCGAAAGGTTTATCAGAGAAAGGACCCAGAATCAGGAATCCACTAC